GACTCAACTGCAGTGAGTTTTTTTTTTTTTTTTTATGATATAGTGAATAGTGACCGCCCCCCCCCCCCAAAAAAAACTCATTGCCATCAAGTTAATTCTGACTTATAACAACCCCCATTGGGTTTTCAAGGCTGTAAATCTTTACAGAAGTAGATGACCTCATCTTTCTTCCACAGAGGCTAGTAGGTTTGAACCACTGACATTTTGGGCAGCAACCAAATGCCTTAACCACTATACCACCAGAATTCCTTAGTGAATAAGATAGAGTGATGGAAACACGGGTACTTTTTCTCTCTTCACTATTCTCTAACTGTTTTATGTTGTAATTTTATTATTTTTCCACTGAACAGAATGCCGGTATTAAAAGAAAATCAATCAAGAAGAAGGGCAGTGAAGCGACAACACTGAAAAGCGTTGGTGAAAATTGCCTGGCTGCAGCTCCATGTTGAAGTTTACTAATGTCATTATGGTCCTCGCTCTTTATTGCAGTACTGCTTTCACAAAAAGGTCAAACAATTTAGGTGTCTCTTCCTCCTATTGCCCTTAGAAGTCTTAAAGTTTCATCTTTTTATGTGGTATCAGATTGAAAGACTTTCTTGTTCTTCTCTGTTCCTTCTCTTAACAGAATGTCTTCTTGCTTGGCTTCCAGGATGGCTTTTATGTTACTTGACATTGAGATGTTACCAGTTGGCACAGAGTTCTGAAATAATGAGTTTTCCATATAGGTACATTATGATTATGATGCGAGGTAATTGAATGTCTTCATATACCACTTTAATGAGAATTTAAAGTTGCAATGAGGTAGATGTTGTTGTTGGGAGCTCTGGTAGCATAGTGCCTAAGGCACTTGACTGCTAACCAGAAGGCTGATGGTTCAAACCCACCAGCCACTCCTTGGAAGGAAGATGGGGCAATCTACTTCCGTAGTGATACTGCCTCGGAAACCCAAGGAGGGGTCGCTATGAGTTGGGTCCGACTCAAAGGCACATAACAACAACAGAAAAACAGACGTTGTTGTTAGTGGAAGTCTTAGGTGCTACAATTTAGTAGGAAGAAGGACCTATACTTGGGTTTAGCCAAGCTTGCTGTGGTAGTTATGTTTTTGTGTCAACTTGGCTGTGTCTGGTTGAGTGGCTGGGCAGCTAGCTGGTGGTAGTTGTTCCCCATGATTACCGTGAGACTGGTAATCAACACCATGGTAGGATCTACCACAAGCAGCTGAGTAGCTGCCTTTGGCATGTGGTCTGCTTCCTGTAGATAAGGAGAAGCCTTGGGAATGGTCTCTAGCTTATGACATGCTTGGAACTTGCATGTAGCTGTGTTGTTCAGCAGCCTGCCATTCTCTGCCGACCTTGGTTTTGGTAACATCAGGGCTGTGCCTTTTTACTTGTCAACCTTGGGTTTGTCAATCTCAGAAGCCAGCAGCTGTCTGAGTGAAAAAAAGCCTCTAGCTTCAGTGGGCCAGGAGCTGGAGGCAGAGCTGGACCCCTGGGTTGAGGTGCTTTCACCCAGCCCCTAGAGCCTGGCACTTTGAACTTGGACTTAAAACTTCCAAACTGAGAGAAAATAAACTTGTGTTTGTTAAACAATCTCATTTGTGGTATATTCTGTCAGAGCAGCACTAGGGAACCAGAACACTTGATTAGTGGTGTGATCATTGCCCCCTGGCAGCTGGACAGTATGCAGGGGAGTCTGGCTTTGCTCTCGTTAGCACTGAGTATTCTGTTTCCAACTCCTCATATACATTCTACTCAAAGACCAAAAATTCAACCAAAAATAGAATTAAAACAATTTTTTTAGACACTTGTTGAAATATAACCCCCACATCCAAAAAAATACCATTGCCATTGTGTCATACTCATAGTGACCCAGTGGGACAGAGTAGAACTGCCCCATAGGGTTTCAAGGCTATAAATCTTTATGGAAGCAGTTGTTGTTGTTATGTGCCATCGAGTCGGCCCTGACTCATAGCAGCCCCTCCTTGGGTTTCTGAGGCAGTATCACTACAGAAGTAGGATTGCCCAACCTTCCTTCCGAGGAGTCGCTGGTGGGTTTGAACCGCCAGCCTTCTGGTTAGCAGTCAAGTGCCTTAGGCACTATGCTACCAGAGCTCCTTATGGAAGCAGAGTGACTCATTTTTCTCCTACAGAGTAGCTGGTGGGCTCAAACTGCTGATATTTTTGTTAGCAGCTGAGTGCTTAACCACTGCACCACCCTTAAAATAAAATAAAATAAAATAAAATAAAACATTACTAGAAAATTTGGGAACAGAAATATAATTTTAATAGATACATAAATTATAGTTACTTAATTTAGAGAAAACACAACTTCAGTGTTTCTGGAAAGTAGACTTGGCATCTCGAGACATAGTTAGACATAGTTAAGTGAATTGGATAGAGAGTAGAAATTCCTTCTTTGTTCAGACCTTGAGAGTTATTGTTATCGTTCATAAAGCCACATTCTAACACAAAGGACAATAGGAAAAGCATGTTTTGAATATTGAAAGAGTTCTCCAAAAGTCTATATTAAGTTTGCAAATTTCAGGCAAGCTTTCGTATCTGAAGCCCTGCACTAGATGGTAGTGAGTAATGTGTTGCTATAAAAGTCTCTTGGATGAAACAAATGAGTTTTGGGTGTTAGAATATTCAATTTACAGGATTTTGGCTCCTCTCCCACCTGTTTCTTTTACTAAACACTCAGACTGAGGCTTTACCAGGGTTATATAACCGTTCTTGGAAATTCAGACTCTGTAAATAATGAGAAAGGAGACCCTCATGGATTATTGTGGTGAATATTTGGATCTGAAATAAGCGAACATTTAAATCTCTAAGATTTCCAGTAATGTTGAATTTGGCTGCATATCCTGTGGTTGTAATATTTTAAGCCTTTAAAATATATGAGTTCTCCAATAATGACATGCTCTTTTTCCTGATTCTTTTCCATGACTAGCATTTTTGTCATTACCTTCAAACAAATTGTATGCAGTTTTCAACTCTTGCAGCATATGGTGGCTGCCTGCAAGTGCTTTGGGTGCCTTGGCCAACAGCCACATGCAATAGTGAAGAGTGATTTCCTGGGTGAGCATAGAGAATTTTGCTTTTATCCATTTTTCTGCTTAACTTCAACTTTTAATGTAGGCTTGGGTTAGACCATTTTTCATTTTTTCCTCTCTCCCTTCCTTCTCCCTCCTTCCTTCTCCCATTTCTATCTCTCTTTCCTTATTTTTCATTGTTCCATTCTTCTTTTACCCTGTTGTTGAAAAGTACTATCTAGCAGGAGCTCTGGTGGTGTAGTGCCTAAGCCATTTGACTGCTAACCGAAGGAAGATTGGGCACTCTACTTCCATAGTGATACCACCTCGGAAACCCAAGGAGGGGTCACTATGAGTCGGATCTGTCTTGTCAATATTGATTCATAGTAACCCCATGTGACAGAGTAGAACTGCCCATGGGGTTTTCTTACCTGTAATCATTATAGCAGCACATCATCAGCTCTTTCTCCCATGGAGCCACTGTGTGGGTTCGAACCACCAACCTTTCAGCTAGCAGCCAAGTTTAACCATTGTGCAACCAGGTCTAGAGTAATGTATGCTATCAGTGTTCTTAGAGATCTTCTTAAGCAGTAAGAATGTAAAATTCACGTTGAAAACACCAAGTGTTTGTAGCTTTTGCTTTCTGCTGAATCCTTGCCTATTTTTCAAATCATTTTGAATAGGCACCCATTAATTTTTGCTTTATATTTCTGGCCTAAAGAGAATTCCTCAAAGAAGAACATGTGCCTCATCACTTATATTGAGGCCCTATATGGATTCTGTTTTGGAAAAATAATAGCTTTTAGTTAGTCTTTATTGATGAGGGCTGGATGTATTTCCTGCTGTGAAGAAGGGGGTTTGGAAGGAAGGAGCGAATGCTTTGAGGCCATAGAGAGGGACAGTGGTAGCCACAGGTGGAGGGGAACCCTCTGGAGAGCTGCAGAGGGAGGCAGGCAGTAAGCTGAGGAGTTGGCAAGGTTGACAGGTGAACTGTCCTGAAACAGCTGTAGCCCAGAGCCAGCGGTCAGAGCGCAGTCTCTTCTCAGTCTGAGGCCCTTCAACCCTCAGTCCCCTAGCTCCCTTTTCTGCTCCCAACTCTTTCTTTGCAGGAAGCCTATAGCTGCACAATCCCTTTTCTTGTTGATGGCCTCCTAGTAGCCATCTCTGTGTCCAAGCTATCAGCACAGACTTGTCAAAAAGCTATACTGTCATTTGAGCTACTGATTGAATTGATTGACTTACCACTGGGTCACTTATTTTTGCCCCACATAACAGTCTAAATATTTGTGTTCTGAACTCACTTTTGCTTTGATAGTCTACTGTAGTCCCAGGTGTAAGTAAAAGGTAATTTTTTGACTGGCATCTAAATATTTTGCATAGAAACAAATCCAAGAAAGGGTGATAGAAATGTATGTGTAACATATACATCTGTATACATGCTTGGAAAATATATGTACAAACATATATTCACATACATACGCACATGTATATATTAGCACATATGCACACATGCATATACATATGTGTATATATATATATATGCATATAATGTTTAAATGGAAACCAAACATCTATTACATATTATGAAACTTATTACATGATGTGTAGAAATAAATAGAACATTACATTTTTCAATATTTTTATATTGGAGAGGAAGGCTTTAAACATCAAATCTTACTGTTGATGATGAAACTGAATTAAGTACTTTCTTAATGGCAAGTTAGTATAAATTTGCTATTGCTATACTTTGTTGCCATTTGGGAAAACCAAACTGTGAACCAGTGTTAAACAGAAAAGCTCTCTATCAATTATAAACTGAGAACAGACAGCAGAGGCTAACATGTGCCCTGCAAAATGCCTTGACCCTAATCAAGCATCTTTCAGTTGACATCCCAGCCTTTTTCGCTTTCAGATTTGAGATGATGAAGGTGCAAAGCCAGAAGAAGAGCCTCAAAGAGCAGGGAGCGGCCTAGTCCACTTCCTCCAGGTTGGTGTCAGACACTCTGGACAGCTGGGGCCCCACTGAAGACTCTGCTGGCAGGCCCCCGGCTGCTGGTGGTGGGGGCTGCCTGCTAGGCTCACACCCAGGCACCCCAGCTAAAACTTCCTCACCTGCGGGCAGTGCTAGAGCACCTTCCTTTGCCTCCACCCTTGGTAGGGAGGCCTGGGCTGGGGGCAGTGGGGTCTGACTGGATGTTTCTGCCTCTGGCTTCTGGGATTGCTGATCAGCCTGTGCTCCAGTGGGGAGGGTCTCACTACAGGCCTCTGCTTCTGACCCAGCTTGGGGGTCACTGGTCTTGGGGAGAGGTTCTGCCTCATTGCCTCCTTCAGCCTGAGCCTGAGGAGTTAGGGGAGGAGGGGGACGCTCTGATTCGAATGAAGGAAACAGAGGGGATTGTTCTGGCTCCTTGAGGATAGTGTCACTGCCTCTCTGAGGGCTGCCTAGTTCTGGTGGGAGCTCTTTGGGTTGGTCAAGGGCAGACTGTGGATGATGAATTACCATGAAGGCTGTGGCCAGAGTTTTCACAGCCTCTTGGACACTCTTGGCCTTCTCTGCATTGACCGCTTCATTCTCTGATACACTTGACTCCGGCTCTTCGTCAGAGGGGTACTGACTTTGGTCTTCCCTTTCAGGCATTTTCGCTTCTCTAATTTTTTTGTAGAGTTCATTTCTCTCTTCTTGTAAAGCACGACAGAGGTTCTCCAGCCTCCCAATTTTCATCACAAAGCATTCATATTCTTTCGCTCTTAGTGCTTTCTGTGAGGTGAAAACAAACACACAGAGCAAACAGAATGAGGGACAAATTGCCAGGATGCTCTCTGGAGACACGCACAACTGTGCAGGAACTTGTCTACGCACTCTGGACCCTATCCACATAGTAGTAGTTGGACAGACCCTTGGACAGGATATCATTTTCATTTTTGCATTGCGTGCTAGACTCTGGGAGCACTCTAATCACCATATCCTTTTTAAAATAATCATACCTTTTTCTTGAGGTCCCTAGGTGGCACAAATGCTGGTTCTTGACTACTAGCAAGAAGGCTGGTGGTTTAAACCCATAGGAGGCACTCTGGAAGACAGGCTTCCTAAAGGTCATAGCTTTGAAAACCTTATAGTACAGTTCTCTGCCTGCATGGGGTGGCTATAAGTTGGAATCAACTTGATGGCAACTAACAACAAAAAGGAGCTCTGGTAGCGTAGTGCCTAAGGCACTTGACTGCTAACCCGAAGGCTGGTGGTTCAAACCCACCAGCCACTCCTTGGAAGAAAGGTTGGGGAATCTACTTCCGTAGTGATATCACCTCGGAAACCCAAGGAGGGGTTGCTATGAGTCGGGTCCGACTCAATGGCACATAACGGCAACAGCACCACCACCACCGTTCTTCAGAAGATAGAGATGGTAAGTCTTCTTCCTGCTTCAGTTGAGTGCCTCTAAAATCTTAAAGTAGAAGATTTCCTGCTTCTAAGACTTAGAAGTGGTAAGGAAAGGCTTGTGGCAAAATGACTGAGCCAGGACTGGGGCTTGACCTTCAGCCAGGCCTTATCCGCTGTTCTGTAGATAAGCTAATCTACTCTCATCCCAGCAACCATTTGATTTATGTGTTGATGAATAGTAAGCATATCTCTTTGGAATGGCTTGCAATTTGGCATGAATTGTTAGAACAGTAATAATAACCAGAGAAATGAGCCACATACATAATCCATGATGCTGGCTGCTCAAACTATTCCATTTTACTTCTTTTCTGTAGAAACGTTATTGTGTTTGTGCATGAAACTTGTTCTCATCCTCTCACTCCCTTATCCCTCCCTTTGCGTTACTCTGTATCCTACAAACACATTTAAGATTCTTCTCACTTGTTTACATGGAGAGACCCTTATCGTTAGCCTGCAAGCCATCTATTCAGTGCCTGGCATAATACCAGTATTTAAATACTGTTGTTGTTGTTGTTGTTATGTGCCATCGAGTCTCGGCCCTGACTCATAGCGACCCCTCCTTGGGTTTTCGAGGCAGTATCACTACGGAAGTAGGATTGCCCAACCTTCCTTCCGAGGAGTGGCTGGTTAAATACTGTTAGTGGAATTTAAAAATATATCTCTATATCTATCTATAAAAAAGCACATACCATGGGTGCTTGGGCTGGTTGGTATCTTCCCTCTGTGTGTTCAAATCAACGAATTTATCCTGTGCCTACTATGTGTCCTGCTCCAGTGAAACTCAAATCCAAGTAAGACACTCTTCCTACGACTTCAATGAATTCATAGTTCAGCAGGGTGTGTGTGGCTCTGAAACATGCTTTGGAATCAGTCAGTGAAGCCTGGGACTTAGGGTCCCAAAACACATTACGAGTCTGGGTGAGTTTCTAAATTACCTTTGCTCTTATTAATTTTATTACAATTTAATATGTAATGTCCCAGAGAAATTCAGCTTTTTGTCAAATGCAATCATTTGTACTATTATGTTACAATTATTTTCTATAAATATTTTGGCTTTTGTTCCCCTAAAGGCTGTTGAGTTCATTCTGACTCATGGCAAAGAGGGGAAAAACCAATCTATATGAAAAATTGGCTCACCTCTTCAATCATGTCCAAGAGAGCTCTGTTACAGTTCTCAAAGCGGGCTTTCCAGGTGGCTGTGTCTTTTTCCAACTTCTTCATTTTCTTAGTTGTCTACAGAAATTAGAGTGTTTTGATGTTAATCCTGAAGTGTTAACATATCAAAGACGTTATTAGCTGCATATGTGACATCAAGAGAAGTCCCTTTGTTACCAGCTGCTGAAGCAAACAAATGTTTGAGGTCAAGGAATGAATTAGGGGGGAGAGTCATGATTTAAAGGCATACCTCAGAGATATGGCAGGCTCAGTTCCAGACTACTACAATAAAGCAAATATTGCAATAAAGCGAGTCACATGAATTTTTTTTTTTTTTGTTTCTCAAGGCTATAAAAGCTATGCACACACACTCTACTGTAGTCTATTAAATGTACAATAGCATTATTAAAATTTTGAAATATTGAATTACCAAAATGTGATACAGAGACGTGAAGTGAGCACATGCTGTTAGAAAAATGACAAACAAATTTGCTTGGCATAGAGTTGCCAAAAACCTTCAATTTGTGAAAAACAAAATATCTTCAAGGTGCAATAAAGCAAAGCACAAGAGTAAGGTAAGCCTGAACTTATGAATCTCCTAGGTTAGGAGGAGCTCTGGTGGTGTAGTGCCCAAGGCATTTGACTGCTAACCAGAAGGCTGGTGGTTTAAACCCACCAGCCCCTTCTTAGAAGGAAGACTGGGCAATCTACTTTTGTAGTGGTACTATCTCAGAAACACAAGGAGGGATCGATATGAGTTGAGTAGAGAGTGGATTGGACAGCAGTGAGTTGTTTTTTTTTTTTTTAATCTAGGTCAATAGTGAGCACCAGGGCCAATTCAGGAAAAAAGAAACTACTTAGGGGCCAATTGTTTTGCTGTTGTTGTTTTCTTTCATTTAAAGTAAAAATAGCTTTCCCGAGTTTCAAGAACAGATTATTTACTTCATTGAGTAGAAGACTACCAGTGGGAAAGCTGGCATGTTGATCTGGGCACATTTGAGGAGTAGCCACACAAAGGCAGCTGTCTATGCTTTCAGCCCTTACCTGTGGAGTGCTGCAGAGGTCACAAAATGTGATGATGCACCCACCCTATATCATTTCATGTTGGAAACAATCCCACAAGGAAGATTCTATTTTCATCTTTACTTTATTTTTTAATATTACTTTTTTTTAAAAATTTATTTCTTTTTATTTGGGTGAAGATTTACAGAGCAAATTCACTTTCCATACAGCAGTTCACATATACTTTGTCT